TTCCATATAACGAATACACACAATTTATTTTTATATGGAAGAAAACCGAAAATCTTAGACAAAAAAAAAAAATAGAAAATAAAAAAACCAAACTTAAGTTTTAGCTATTTGAAACTTGTACTTTGTTCTACTATGTAGAATTCAGTTCGCTACAAAACTGCATACTCAGAATCTCTCTAGGAAATCTAATTGAAAAAGTTTGACATTTTTACGATAGTTGATTATTTTTTTTTTTAATATTGCACAAAGTTTTGTTAAAGAATGAACTATATTTTTATAAAAAAATAACCTAAATTAAATAACAACAAAAATAATATGTTAAAACTTGTCAAAATGTGGTGCGGCTATAATTATTTCGACCACTGTATACATTCATATATCTCGAAAACTAGAGCCAATTAAATAATTTAAAGGTCAGCCTTTAACTGCCGGTTCACCAGCAATTTAAGTGTAAAATGATTTTTTCCTGCGTCAGTTTTCATACTCAAATAATTTTTTTTTTTACTTGAATTGCGTTCGTCAAAACTTTAATACCAAAACTGAAAGCTTTTCCTTTTTTCTTCAATATTCTAATAAAACATACATATTTTTAGGTAAACAAAAAACTTACCCGCCTTTTAAATGAAATAAGAGTGTAAGGCAAACAGTATTTTTTTTTTTTTTTATAAATTTCAAGTGTGTATATTCACAAGCATTCAAAAAATATTACATTTAAGGAACGTTTCGAACAAAACCAAACCTTCTAAATACATACATATACAACAGCAATTAATTCAAAAACATTAACAATATTTGCCCGCAAAATAAAGCCATTTAACAAAAACAAAAAAAAACATTTAACAATAAATAAACAAACAAAAAAGCTTAAGTAAATTCAGTCAGTCATTGAGTAGTCATACACTATAGGCAGACATAAATACATTTTTTGTTAACAAACATAATTATATACTCTATAGTATACAGTTAAAAACTAAAAAAAAAATATTTTGGTATACATTAGTTAATTATGCCTAAATTGCAATTAATTTTAATTTTTACATATGTACGCTTTAAGTTTTTGCTACTTAATAATTAATATTAAATTTTAATGTTTTTACTAAATACATACAGTGATTTCACTTTTATTTCACTTACGGTATAGTAATTTTTTAATTTCTTTATTCTTGTTTTCTTACTTTTTTGTAGGTTATGTTCAACTAACTATAATATTATTGTATGTTTGGTTTTTAAAGTTTGATATAAAGGTACATTTGTTTGGATTTCAATTGAAATTTTGTTCAATGTAAAAATAATAAATAAAAACCCACATACATATGTATGTATGTATATGCATACTAGTATGTATATTTACTACGGCTGCTAAATAGGATTTAGTCCAAATGTGGGGCATTGAAAACCGATAAATAGAATATATAGAGTTAGATTTCAAGGTATATATAGTGGTAATACAATATTCGATGTTTTGTAAATTGGAATGAGATCGAACGGGGAAAATAGAATGGCATTTGGGCTTTAAATAAACCTGTTTTCAATACTGCATATTTTTATAAAATTATAAAATAAAAATTCTTTGTTAATTTACACAGTTTGACAAAATTTGCTCTCGTCTTTCTGAAAGATGAAAATAATTGAATTATATATAGATTTTCTTCCGCTGATATCAAGGCTTTTAATAAAATTCAATCCGGCCAGGCCTTTTCGATTCAGAGATATAAATCAGGCTAAAATAGCGCATTAACTAATTTGACCCACAAAAACGTAAGAGATTACAAATTGAAATCAGTGATTCAATAAAAAAAAAAGAATCGTTAAAATGCCATTCTTTTTTTACCTCCTTTTAGCAAATATTTTCAATTTTTCCTCCATTTCAGCTTATGGCTTTTAAAAATTTTCTTATTACAAAATGGCTTTGGTTTTTTATCTTAATTAATAATAAAAGTAACGCGATAGCTATTAGATATTACTAAGTACATTATTTATAGGTATAATCTCATTAATCATAACACAGTCGGAACGTTTGTTGCTGTTGTTGTTGTTTGTGGCATGATTTTTGCGCTCGAAGAGGGGAAATTGGCAATAATAAGTAGAAAAAAAGTTAAAAAGCTTCAAAAGTCGTCAAAGTACTTTGGCTGAATTTTAGAGAAAAAAGGACTAAAAAATATACTTAAAAAATAATAACATGTATTTAATTTCCGTTTTTTACATTCGAAATTCGAAAAAAATAAATTAAACCGATTTTAGGTTTTGAACAAGGCTTTAAATAGTATGCAAAAAATTTAAAAATATTTATTTTTTCGCTCCAAATCAGTTTCTTATATTCAAAATTCGAAAAATGTACCAAATAAAAATTCGATATTCTTCAAAAATTTCGAAAATTTAATAATTTTGTAAATTGTAGTAAAAGGCTTTATTAAAAAATCCGCAAAATATCTGTAAAACAAGACAAACAAAAATCTTATGAAAATAAGCTATGAACTTTATTATGAAGTTCGAAGGGTAGCACAATATCAGAAATTCGAAATTTCCGTTTTCGATGATTCTTTTTTTTTTTTTAATCAGAAACGTGGTACTCCAAAGGAGCTCCCATACTACCATGTTAAGTTCCCATCATTGGGTCATATGAATAAATCAATGGCACTTCTAAATTTTTATATGAGCATTGAAGTCGGTTGCACTGTTTGCTTAACTTACGTTAATTTTCGTTTTAATTTTACAAAATCCGCCTATCAAACATTTTCGTTCACAAAACGTGGCAGTCTACGAAAAGAAGAATTGTGAATTTTCAAATTAATCGCTGGAGCAAAATCCCATAAGTTGCGCATTTAAAACTATATGGTCGGCATTGTTGTAATTTCTTCGCCACCGACAGAATCGCACAAATGTATGGATGCCTTAATACTGAAGTTCCACTGCGCATTGAAATGACAGAAATTTCGATAACAAAATTGGAAGTGTTAAAGGTAAAGGCCGGCTTGGTCCGAATTTCTGTAGAAAAATCAAAAGCTAAATTAAAATATTATCGATTTGCACGAAAACAAGAATTTTACCGATTATTTAAATTTATAAATTATTATATTCAACATGCAGCATTAAAAAAGCGAGACATAAATTCTACCCTTTTCTATCTCTCTCCTTCTCGAATCTGTAAGTGACCGAAAATTAAATTTTAAATTTGTACTGACAATGTTTTAAAACATCAAAAATTCAAGGCTTCTTTAGTAGTATGAACCAATTTAAATACTCATAGAATATAGTATTTTCTGAAGCTTGTGTTTTTAAACTATAACATCTACTAAATGAAAAATGCAAGCTTCAACCTAAAACTAAAGCTTTTAAGACATGTGGCCACCAGACAAAGGGTTAGCTGATCTCTCATTTCAATTAAATAAATAAAAAAAATTATCTTATCAGAACTTAACTTATAAGAAAAAAAAAATACGACATTTCTTATTTTTAAAATGCCAACTTTCATTTAGCACTTAAGAAAAAAATGTTTAAAATTGTATAGGTAATTTTTTACGGCCATCGTCAGCCATTTTACTGATACGCTGACGATCGTGGACAATGACGATGACGACATTCAACATAGGAGCCGATTATACTCAATATAAACTTTTTCCCATAAACATTACTTCCCCGAGTGCAAATATTTTCTGCCACACGATAACAACATACTTAGGATATTCACAAGGTGACATATCGGCCTTATCCCGAATTCCATGAGAAGAAATATTGCCAAATATTATAAAGCAGAACCAAAACAAATTTCTCCAATTTATTTTGGTTTTGCCTATTAAATTATGGGAACGATTTATTCACATGGAATTGGCGATATGGCTGAATAGTTAGTTATATCGTCATAAGTCAACAAATTTTAAAACGTGTAAAAATGTTTTGAGCTTCCTAAGAATCACTGAAAATCGACACCTTGTGAATCCATGAACTATATTTTTGTTTTTTTTTTTGTATTTTACTTCGTTTTAATTATTTTTATTTTTTGCTTTTTCTCGTAAAACTACTGAATCACTTAAATTTTATTTGATTTTCGAGGCTAGTTTCTTCCTCCAAACATTTCTTGTTTTTTTTTTACTGTTTTGCACTTTTTCGGGCCAACAACAACACGTTTTGTTAATCATTAAATAGTAGCTAAATAGAGATCGTCAAACATTTTCTACAAATATACATACAATCCATCACATGCCAACTTTCAACTTCCAACTATAATTTCAACGCTTCAACGTTTACGTAATTTTTTCGCTATTTAAATAATTTGTTAGCGCTTACAAACAAATACACTATCTATGTATAAGTACGTACGTACATATGTATGTCTGCATGTTAAATGTCTAGTATAATGAGACTAGAGTACATTTGTATATATGTACGAGTATATAAATCTTGTGAGAGAGCGAGCTTAGCTTATGAACTGTACAATAGTAGAAAGGAGGAGTAAGTAGTACTAGGAGACATGTGGGATGATCGTGATCGTGATCGTCAACGTTTACATGAACATGATCGTCAACAGCATTTGTTGCAGGCGATGATTATACTCGGCGCCGCCGCCGCCGCCGCCACCACTGCATCCAGCATCATTTTCACGAATTATAAATATGGATAATGATAAGATTTATTGCGATAAAGCCCATCGATAAGGCCGGAGTAGTTGAAGCCTATAAAGATTTTGTGGTAAAGTTGCGATGTTGTTCGATTGCAGACGTTTGTATCAGTGCAAGATTTCGTCGTTGAATTAGCATCGATTTTTTTTTTTTTTTTTAGTTGATTGTACGAGTTTGCAACAGATGTTGCAAGAGTAGCATAATTGACAGCCATACAGAGCAAAATTATGTAAGCGGCAGCATGAAAGAAAGAAATACGAGAAAAAGGTTAAGAGCGTGTTAGTAAAATTTTTACTTAATACATACATACTAAGAAATATTTATGTATGTAGTACTATGTAGCGATAAATATCCCTTACAATGGGGTTTATTATTGTAAAGCCTTTTCTTTCGCACAAACACTTTTAAAATCCCTCTTAGAGAAAACCAATATTTATGATTTTCTTATTAACTATTCGCACTTGAATCCTGCGTGGAGCGTAAAAAGTACAAAACTTGTGGACAAAATATAAATGAAATTATATTATTAAAAAATAAAAATAAAGAGCAAAAAAATTTCGAAGAAATATACAATTTTATGCAAAAACAGGAAGACAATGAATGACTCGACAAGAGTTAAAAAAAAAAACAAATAATAATTAAAAATTAAAAAAAATAATTAGCAATAAAAAATCTAACGTGTAATATTATGTTTTCTTTTTCTGAAAGCAACGTTCAAACCAAATATTTGTTTTCACTGTACGTTTTACCATTAAAGCTTAGAATACAGCTCTTAAGGAAAATCACAAGAAATATTTTTCATTATTTGGAGTTTACAAAAACGAAATATATATAATTTTTATTTTATTTATTTTTGAGGTCATTTTTTATGAAAAATGTGGTGTTTTTATTTTATAAAATTCTTTGCAAGTTTCGCTTGGAAATTTTTGGAGCTTGTTACTTTTTACATTTTAGCTGATGAAAGATTCAGTATTTAAAAATTGTTTAATTTGTTTTGAGTTTTTTTCTTATTTTTAAAATCGTCACTAATCGAAACACATCATGAAAATTTTAATAAAAAACTAACTCAAAATATTCTGTTAAAAAAGCTTTAAGCTATTTTAAAATAAAAAAGAACTTTCGTTTAATAAAAAAAACATTACATCATAAAAAACAACTTACAATGAAAAAAATAAAGTTTCGAAGACCAATTAATTGTTCTTTGTATTCAATTAAATTATTGGCTAAGGCTTTTCAAATTTCATAATTCCGCAGTCTCGCAGACGGACATCTTCTTAAAAAAAATTTCATAAAATATATAGTACAGAATTTCAAGCGCCCATGTTAAAAAAGTGCCTAAAATTTAGATGAATTTTACAACTTTTTAAAAAGTTTACAAATGCTATTAGAAAAGGTTAAAAAGTATTACAAAATTAAAAACAAAGTTGTAAAATTTTAAAAAATAGTTATTATTTTTTGTAAGAGATATGTTCCTTTTGTTAAAAAAAAAAACAATTTTTTGCGTATTTTAAAATTCATTAAATGTTTTTCGCAAAACAACTTTCATGACTATCATTCTTTAATAAATCATTTTGAAAATGTAAAAAAGTGCATGTTAAAATTATTTTCCGTTAACATTTTTTTTTGTAAAAAAAACAATTTCTTTGACATTATTTAAAAACTAGTGTTTGAAAATAAATAGTTTTACGTTAAAAATTTATTGTTTGGTAATAGACTTTTCGTACAAAATTCTTAGTTATAAATGCCATTCTTTTAAAATTCTCTTCGAAAAACATTAAATTTATTTACATAAAACAATTATTTAACACTTTTATATATATTTTTCATATCCAATTGTTTTTACCGAAATTGTTATGCCGGATTTCCTCTGAACGCTAAAGACAAAAAATTGTACGCCAATGTTGTGCATTAAAAATATGTATCCGAGTCGTTACGTTCATAAAATTTGTCATTATGCCATTACGTTTTTATTAACACGGTTCTATTCTGTATCAGCGACAAATTCTTGTCACAGTGTTTTTACGGAAAAATAAATGAAAAAGTTGAAATTTGTCAGTAAAAAATTTTTTGTCACCAATTATAGTACAATTTCTAATACATAGCTATTGAAATGAGAAGTATATTTTAAGCAAAAACCACGGCCGACTTCAATTCTGATCTACAAATTCAGGTGTATCGTTAATTTCTACATGATCCAATGATCGGATCTAAACCAAATTAGTATGCGACCACCTCGGAGACACTACCTTTCCCATAGAAGAATCATCGAAATCCTAAAAATTCGAAACAAATCAAACACATGAAGTGTGAACCCCGTCCGTTTTGGTATGGAACACCCCATATACAGTATTGGCCATATCTATAGCATCCTCATTTCAAAGGGATATTATTTGCCACTTATGTTTAATTATTTTTTAAGAATTTTCAATTAAAATACAGTTCATTCTCTAACAAAACTCATATAAACCAAAGTTTTAAACTTTGTAAAAGACTACAAAAAATGCAACGAATTTTTACCTAAATTTCAAAACGAATTTTTTTCAGTACGCAGTTTTATAGCGCATTCAATTTTAGTCTAAAAAAATGTGCAAGTTTCAAATGTTTTTATAATTTTTTTTTGTCGCGTTTGCTTCCATATAACGAATAAACACAATTTATTTTTACATATATGTACGGTGACCATATTTATGAGGGCCGAATACGGGACAAAAAATAATTTTGGAAATTTTTTCCACACTGTTTTGCCTGAAACAGTATCCTTATAGTAACACCACACATTTATAGGATAGTTTTCTGAGATTTTCAACCCGTAAAATTTGTTAAATTTTAGTATAATAATGTGCAATTTTAAGTCGGTAAGGCTTACCACTAACTTTTTTGGCATTTTTTAACGGGTTTTTTAACGGTTTAACGGTTAACAATTTTTTTTAAACAAAGTAAGTGTGTTCGACCTTTTTTTTTTGGAAGGAGAAGCAAATGAGCAACACTTTTCACTCGCACTTTATTATACTCAATTTTAATAATTTACAAAACCGCAAACTAATTTTTTTGTCTAAAGATTCTAATTAAAAAGTTTTAAATTTTGGTGAAACATTGCAGAATTAATTTTTATAGTTTTCTGCACAAAGCTGGAAATTTGGTAGTATATGGTTTTTGTTAGGAAAGGAGCTTTACTTTCATAAAATAAATAAAAAACATTAAATAAACTAAGAAAAAATAGCCAAAACTTACTAAAATATCGAGTATTCATCGATTCGAATCACAGCCATTCAGATTAGAAAATAATAACTGAAAGGTATTCCTCGCCAAATTACTGTGGTCAGCTAAACCAGAGTTGGACTGATGAGGGCTATTTTTTGAAAAAAAAAAAAAAAGGGCATCGACGTCGACAACCAGAATAGGGCTGATTATTTAATGCTCGTTAAATTTTTTGTCATTTAATCCGGCATAACTTTTAAAACATGAAATGTGGAAGCATACTTAATGGCTATTAATTTTTGTCATTACAATTAGTAATTGAAATAAAAGTTCTTTTGTAAAAAAACATTTTACAAAAATTATACAACTACTTTCTTTTTACTATTCTGACTAATTTCTTTTTATTCAAGATTTATTGAAAGATCGACACATTAAGCAATTTGCGTAATTTTATATGATTTCTTTTTTATAAAAAAATATTTGGGAAAAATATTCTGTCTATAGGACACAAATATGTATGTATATTTCTTCTTTTAATATTGTACACACTTGATACAAAAAATATATATTGATTTGTGCACAAAAAATAAAGGAAAAAAAATATTTTCGATCTTTTTGCATAAAAAAATTGTTTGTGTCTACAAAGCAGACTTTGTGAACTTCATATTTTAGAAGCATTTACATTGTCAAAAAAGAAAAAAAAACTTTTATTTTTCACTCAATAAATCTTTGGACAAAAAAATTGCACTTTTATTGTTGCCCTAGCAGATCATTTTTTCCGTAAATTTCCAGTGGGGTTGCTATATATATTTAGTATGTTTGTATGTGCGTATATAAGTTTAGATAAAAAAATACAAAAAAATCTCACCTTTGCTCTTTGGGAACAACAACAACATTTGGATATACTTGCGAATATCTACTAAATGCGTATTCAATCTATAAAAAAATTTGCAGTAAATACATATTAACAAAAAATTAGTTATTTATTCGTATACACTAGCATATTTGTAAGTATGTATATATATTTTTATGGTATAGAAAAAAATTATAAAAAAGTCATAGTCGTCTTTTTCTTTTCGTTTTGGAGTGCACTCAGGAGGAAATATAGTAGTGGTGGTTGTTGCGCGCCGGCGCCGCAGCCAGCAAACATTTTTTTTTTTTCGGGAAGAAGTATGTACGAGTATGTTTGTTTTTAGACGGAGAGGGTTAGGTATGTTGAAGTACTTACTTGCCATTTCGTGTTGCTGAGCGTAGTGAGCGCAAACGAATTGAGCTTGGATTCTGGCAGCTAGAAAAAAATTAACAAAAACAACAAAAACGAAAAAAATACTTCCCGCTGTATGTACAACTGCATTTTTTAGTTCTTTGTTTTTGTTCTTACTTTGTTAGCAGTAACTTGCTTGCAAATTTTTGTGGAAAAAAAACAAAAAAATTATTTTATTATTTTTATTTAATTACTCACTGACATATATGCATATATTGAAGTATTTGCGAATGTATTATATTCATATTACTACATTAATATTTTCTTTTAGATGTAATTCTTTTTTTTTTGTAATTTTTTATATATGTATATATATATATATATATATATATATATTAAGTGTTGAAGAACGACGCTCTAGCACTACATTTACGTTTATAAGTTTTTCTTTTTATATGTTTATATAAGTTGTGTACGATTTCGTGTTTGCTTCAACTCTTTTTCATATGTATGTAATTCGAAACATTTCTGCATTAAAATTTTCTTTTTAGTGTCTTGTGGATTAAGTTTAAAAAATCGGCTAAGCTTTACGAACAAGCATTTCATATGTTCTGTATGTATGTATGGTAGGTCTTAAAATTAGTATAATAAAATTAAAATGTGGTTAAAGTTATTAATTTTTTTCCCATGTAATTTTTCGCGCTTTATTATTTGCTGATTTCTTGTTTTACACATACATATGCATTTGCCTGCTGGTTTCTCTAAGTTCTTTTTTCTTATGCAACTACATATGCAAATATTGTATATTTTATTGTTGCCTTATATCTCTAAAATATATTGAAAAAAATTTAAATAAGCACGAAAAAAATGAAAATAAAAAAATGTAAAATGTAAAAATTAAAAAAAAAATTCGATAATATAATAAAAAATACAAAAGTGAAGTACCGAAAAAAATTTCAATCAAAAATTAAAAAAAAAAATCTAGAAAAAACATTTGTATATTTGTGAATTGATTGTATATTTTTTACTACTCGCCAAAAAACGCAGTGCACAAATTTGAGGTTTCCAAGCTTCAAGCATGTTTAGATTTAGAGCCAGTCGCAAAATCGCCCATATTGCTTTTTTCTACGTTCGCTTACAGCGCACCGTTTATATTTTTATGAAAGTTATTAAACACAAATTTTAATTTCGATAGCTAATCGAAACCCATTGAGAAATGTTCAATTATCGACTAAAGCGGCACATGAATAATCGGTAAATTCTTGACATCACTAACAACGCTTTTGACATGTATTAGTCAGCTAAATATCATCAAGTTTGCCGCCGCAAGGATCATTTGGTTTGATAGCCGCCATATATATTGCGCTAGAAACAAAAATATGGCAACTTTAGAACGACATGGGAGCGTCGTTTTTTTTTTGTTTTGTTTTGTTTTTTGTTCTTAACTGGCTCGAACGATAAGTGCAACTGGACGTATATAGACCACACTTACTTATCGTCACCTAGCCAAAGGGGAATCTTCAACGTCAAACGTTGCGTCGGTTTTCAAGTTAGCCCAAAAAACATTTATTTGCGAGTAAAAGCCATATTTTGCCATATTTGCACTACTTTAAACCGACGCAACGTTTTTCGTTGAAATTCCCAACCCCATCCACACCCTCCACCCACCCTAATCGTGTGGAAATTGTATCTTCACTCTCCCATGTCATACGTGTACTAAAAGAAAAAGTTTCGGACTTCAAAACTAATGAAAATCCGAATCATTGAAAAATATTTACTTATAAAAATAAATAGTAACGATAAATGTGGAAGTGCACTGATATAAAAAAGCATTGTACACATGTCAGGAAAAGGCGAGCTGCTAGGACCCAGAATGGCAGCACGCCACCCACCCTTTCCTAGAAATTGGGTTTGTCGTGTACTCGAAAATTTGGCAAACGTGTTTTGTTTGTGCTTTAGTAACAGCATTGTTAGATATTAAATGTTTAAATTTTAAACAACAAATAATATTCGATTGTTTTCTTAGATGATTCGGAAACGAATCCATAACGTCTTGGATATCACTAATCATCAGATATCCAAGCCATTTTAGATGTGCTAATTGCAGGTGCAAAATGGCTCCTCGGCCACACGGTTGAGTAAACGCAATACGCAGAAAAAAATTGAATTAAACCAAAATAAATATTGAAGAAAGTACAATTAAACATAAGAATAACACGAATGAAACGTTTGAATAGATACAATTTTATATATCAAATGAATTACAATCGAGTTTGACTAATTTAAACAAAAGTTATAAGGATAACCTGGCGATTGGAGCATAAATAAGTAGCTACCTGCCATTATAGAAACTGTACTCTGCGAGTACAAAAAAAAAGGATGAGCTAATTCTAAGTTTAGCGTTGCGTACGAGTCAGTAGTGGAGTAAAACTAAAAGAGGTTATGGGCCCAGGAAACGTGTGTAACATGCATTTGAAATCCGTTTCACTTTCACTATATCCAATTG